GAGATCTCTTAGCTTTGCTTGCATCATATAGAGACTGAAACATTTCTTTCCTCTTGCCACTATCAAGGAATCTTTGGCGAGCTTTCATTTTCTATCACCAATTTGATTTTTGTAGCCTTCATCATCAAGCTTCTCGATGAAAATCAAATTGAGACAAATGTCTAGAATATGTTTCACATTTTTAAGAACTAGTTTGCAACCAGTGTTGGTCTCCAAGCAAAAATCTCTCATTCCTACAATCTTAGACACACCATCATTGCCCCTCTTCACATTGCCAAAGTCACCAAGTGTGTAAGATGTAAAGAATTCCTCATGTGAAGTAACATGGAAGGAAGCATCTGCATCAATCATCAAACTGGAATGATCATGCAATGTGAGCCCAACAAAGTCATCATCACTACCAATGATAATATCACCATCCTTAGAAGCAACTGTAGATGTTTCTTTCTCATCTTTGTTCTCATCACCTCTTTCTTTCTTCTACTATTTTTTTAAGCTTTCGACATTCTTTTTTCATATGCCCTTTCATGCTACAATGATATCATTCAAGGTCTTTCTTGGATTGGGATTTTCCTCTAGACTTGTCTCTTGACTTGTCATGGTTGTATATTTTTTTTGTTTCTACTTCCCTATTATCAGTAACAAGGGCCTGTAACTCCTGGAAGTACCCTGTTTCTTTCTTCTAACTTATTCATTGAACATGCTATCTTTCACCATATCTATAGTGACCATACCATTTGGAGCTGAATTGCTTATGGTCACAACCAAAGTTTCCCAACTGTCAGGCAAAGAGTTCGACATCAATAATGTTTGCAACTCATCATGTAGCACCAGCTTCATCGTTGTCAACTGATTGATTAAGCTTGGAAGTCACTCATGTGCTTTGTAACATTGCACCCATTTTTGTATTTCAAGTTTACAAGCCTTCTAATTAAAGATAGTTTTCCTCTTATACATAGCTTCGAATTTCTTCCACAAAGTGTAAGCATTGGTTTCTGGAGCCACATGGTGAAGCACACTTTGATCAACCCAATGGCGAATTTGAACAACGGTTTTTCTATTCGTTATCATCAAATCTTCAACATCTACGTTGTCCGACATTTTACTTTCACCACTAATCGGTCTATACAAGTCCTTAGTGTACTGGACATTCTTAATTCACGGTTTTCAAATTGCATAATTTGAAGAGGTCAATTTTATCATAGCCCTCGAAGTATCTTCCATTTTAAAACTCACACAAGAATTTTATCAAGCACTTGCAAGGCACAAACTGTGTGCTCTAATACCACTTGTTGGGAAAACCCCAATATTTTTCCTTCCTTGTGCAATTAGAAATGGGCAACAAACTACAAATAACAAAAAATATTATGGCTGAAAAATTAAAAGCAACAAAACAATCACAAAACACCAAATTTATGTGATTCACCAAAAATGCCTACGTCCATGGGTCCAATTCCGAATCAACTTCAACTATAAAAATAATAAGGTTACAAGATATCATCTCTAATCACAACTAGAGGCATACAATCATCAAGATAATATTCTTGGGTCACTAATCAACAATTATATTATCACCACTAAGGTAAGTGTCACGACCTAAACACGTCCCAAAGCGTTTAACATCGTAATCAGCCAGTAATTTGTGATTACCAAAGGTCTGCTTAACAATAATAACAGTTATACAATAATAGAGGCTAGCGAAAGGCTGTAAATATTAAGATACAATGTCCAAAGAGTTGTGAGGACTTACATGAACAAACAAAACAACTTATATATAAACCGATGATCACATAAGTTCATGTCCAAACATATATGTACATGACATAACTAGGGAATCAAATCCCAATAACATAACAGTCAAAACAAAAGTTTGGATCAAAACTGTTTAACATAAAGGCTAAGCCGCAAGAGGGCAAGGTAAAAACACCCAAAAGCCCTGACACGTGTTGGCTTGGAACCTCGCGGTGAGGCACGGTAGTTGGCTTAACAAAACGGGGGATCAAGTCGATGCCACTAAGTCTTCTCGAGTGCCTGATCACCTACATACATATATATATATATATATATATAAACAGTGAGCTAAAACCCAGTGAATAACAAATGCGTAAAGGGTTTATGAATGATGTCCTTTATCAATTCCAAACAGCCAATTTTAGTAAGGAATCAGTTCAATAAGCAATATTCATACACTTTAGTGTTGTAGGAAATCATTATAGTCATACGTGGTATATCTCATAGAAGAACAGTACAGTGGGTCTTAAAGACCGAACAGTCAGTTGATGGCCATCAAACAGTAAACAGTAGTTCCAAAAATTGGAATTGATAGAGCTTTTTGTAACCAAACCATCAGTTGTTATGGATGCCATGAGTACAGTTCATAAAATAGAACAAACATTCATTCAGGAAACAAGATCATTTTAGAAAGAAGTACAGTTGAATCATTCTGAAAATAATTATAATTGAACATAGCTTTACAACATTGTTACTCACAGTGGGCTCCGTGAAACACGTGCTAAAATGCACTAAAGATGTGGCGTCCGACCTAAACAAACAAATTCAAGCACAACAATTCAATACACTATTCATTCATTCAATCGGTTCTGTTCATTCTTTACTTATTCGGTTCCTATAAGACATTCATTTTTTCAGTTTCTACTCGTTGCTTATCCATTTGGTTAAACTTTGTTCTTTAATTCACTTGTGTTCATGAGATGCAAATGTACGTGATAAACACTTTAAAACCATGTGGTGGCTATAGCCGCTTGAGCGTGCAGAATGTGTGTTGCAAGGGAAGGTTGGCTGCTCGTGCGGTAGCCCAAGCCGCTCGAGCGTGCATTGTGCATGTCACAAACGGGAGTTGGCCGATCGAGCAGTGGCCCAGGCCGCTCGAGCAATCTGGGTTGACTCCTGGCCGAAATCTACTATATTTTTGGGTCCTTTTCTTTCAAAATCTAACTTCATTTTTTACACAATTCAAGACCCAAAACCTTTCATAAACATGGTAAATAAACAATCTCTTACTTCATTTGAAATAAAAAATTCAATTTAAAACCCAAAGTCGATGCAATGAATTCAAGCTCTTGAATTTACATATCATGTTCATGTAACATACAAGTTGAGCTCTAATCCTCAATTCTCATGGAATTCCCCTTTGCTTTCAAAAAACATGTAAAATAACAACTAAATGATCAGGAATTTTATAAACACTATGCCATGCATGGTAAGTTTTAAACATTAATTCATCTAATTTCTTATTTCTATGATCATATATTCTCACCTCTAATTTTACTTCAAGAATTGAAATGTATAATCATAAACCTTGCCATATTAAACTTCAAATTATCAATTCCCACGGAGTTTTCTCACCTATTAGGAGGTTTATGCAAGAACATGAATGTATGATCATGAATATTTAAGAATCTTGCCATGCATGTATCAATTTCCATCTATATCAACAAATCTTACAAATAAACTTATGAGTTCCTTAAACACTCTTGAATTTCTTAAGTTGTGAGTACACTACTTCAATTTCATAAGATTAAAGAGAGGAGTTCTTACCTAGAGTGAACAATTTGAGTTGTCTTCAATGGTTTCCTTAACTCTCTCTTCAATTTCTTCTTCTTCTTCTTCTTCTTCTTCTTCTTCTTCTTCTTCTATTCTTTGTTGAACTCTCAAATGCTTACTCTCCCTTTCTTTCAACGTGTGTATGTGCGCAAAAGACTCAACCAAACCCACTATCTTCCCTTATACCAATTAAATGGATGAATAGATGAGTAGGATTTTAAGTTTCTATTACTATTTTAATTAATTCAACTAAGTCTAATAAATCATTTCTAATTAAATTAAATTAATCCTTATCACAATATAATCTCAATTACACTAAATTTCATTATATTAGTGTGAACTAGGCTCTAATTTCTATCCAATTTCTTAATTCTAACTTGTTAAAATTAACGAATCAGACAGGTGTAATTTTCACGCTAACCTATCTGTCCACAATAACACAATTCAAATAATCATATGGCAAATCAATAACACTTCATAACACATAATCACATAATTAACGATAAACATATAATCAATATAATTAGTTTGCTTAATTAAAGAGGTGGCTGTCATAGTAAGCTTCAACAAAATCAACTAGAGATAAAGTTTAGGTACCAAAGTGATTATCTCAAACTACCAATCCAAGAGAGTTTTGACAAGATCCACTCCAATCAAAACGTAGAGCTCGTCTTCATGAACAACCCACTAGAATTTCATCAAGATCGGGTAAAAAATGACAAACCAATCTTGACTTGAACTATGGAAGAAAACCTAGCTCTTTCTTCACTTTTATCTCTCTCTCGGCTCTTTTCTATTTTGTTGTTGTGTGTGTTGTTTGAAATTAGAGACCAAAAGTCTCTTTTCCATCCTTTAGTCTTTGGCCGCCACAAAGATTCCAAGAGAAGGTTTACAAACAATAATGAAACAAAAAACTTGTTGACTCATTTGAGTCTTGTATGGACCCAACCCCAACTAGGAGGGATACCATCTAACACAATTTATGTGTTTAGTTTATTAAAAAAGATTCATCTTGTGATGAAAATATTGTATTCCAATATATTCTTTAGAGCATTTTCAATTGTCGCTCCATGAAGAAAAATCTTTGAATTCTATCTAAATAAATAAACGGCATTGTTATTCTAATATAAAAGTTAGATTTATTTTTCAAACTCATTGACGTGACAATCAATCTAAGGTAACTCTCTCACTCTATCTCACTCTCATATATTCTTTAATTATTAGTCAATCATCTTTTTTATACATCACTAGGTAAATGTGAATGAAATATAAGTTTCTTTTTTTTCTTTTTTTCTTTATCTTTTTAAATTTCTATCAAAATTAATGATCCAAACACGACGTAAGGAAATATAGAATTGACAAATAGTTTTATGGATTCAATTCTAGTAATCTAAAAATTTAGGACATTCTCAAGATAAAAAAAAAAAGTAACAATGGATATCAAGTCCCACCCTTCCCCTCCCTCATGGGGAGTGATTTTTATAGAGTAAATGATATACAAACATAATATCGAATTTTCATACATTTATAAATTTTGATTGAAGAAACCAAAAATGATACATGCTTGGAATTCTTCACCGTGTTGCTGATGGTAACTAAAAAAAAAACCGATCACTTTTCTTGCCGAAAATGCCAGGGCCATATGTTGAAGAGATGAGATCCACAAGGAGGGGAAACTGCAAGAACATGAAAGAAGTGATTGGTAGACAAGCCAATGCAGCCACTGGAATAAGTATCCATTCCTTATTGTTGCCAAACACAAGATAGAGTGTGGAACTGAAGGCTAGAATCATGGTTGTTATGGACATGAACAAGGTAACAAGACCAATTATCAACCTCTTAGGCAAAACATAAAGAAAATCACCCTCTGCATAGCGTGAAGTGAGGATAGACAAGAACATTAACAGAGACATGGTGGATGTGAATAGAGAGATTGCATCTGAAACAATAAAGACAATAAATGCGTTTGCTTTTGAGAAAACCGGGACGCCATTTGTGCCATTGGTGCCACCTGGAACAGTGATTACAGCTGCAAATGCTATAGTGGCAATGAGTGCTGCCGCTATTGTGCAAGAGTTCGCAGTGTCTTTCATCCATTTTTCTCCTTCTTCCACTAATTTTTTGTGTTCTTTAGTAAATACCATTGAAGGAAATTCATTTCCTTCGTTTTGATACTCTTTGTAACCGGGTGTTACCAAATTCTCCACTTCCTGCATGATAGCCATAGATTTGAAATAATGAAATATATTTGACTTGTTTCTTAGATAATGTCAGAAACTAAATTTTGAATTTATATTTGAACCAAATTTTGTACTATGCTTTACCAATGAAAAACATGCACATGCTCACAAATAAATGTAATAGACTTCAATGGCATGATAATAAATTTGGGTATCAAATTTTGAATAACATGTGTTCCATACTACTGCATTGTTGTCATATCAGATATCCAAAATTGATTACCCAAGTTTGATTACCACAAATCATTGTTAATAAATAAGTCATGGAATATTAGAATGGAATATATTAATTACCTTAAACCATTGTAACTCACGTTGCATTTGCAAAGCTGCACCCGGAACAAGATTGAGCTTGTCAAAAGGTGCTAATCGTCCAGCCAAGTGCAACATAGTGTTCCAATTTTTGTCCACCACGAACATCATATCTTGTTTATGTCCACTCATTTGATAGATGAGGTTGAAAACATTTTCACAACGATATATAACTGCCAGTCCAAATATGTTATAACCATCATTGTCCACATACCAGATTGCTTGAGGAAATGATTCAACAACCTCTTCAACAACCTCATGAATCCCATACCTTGTAGCTGTAAGGATTACATAGCAAATTAATTCATAAACCTCTGAGTCATTTGAAGATCCAATTTTCTCACACAAGGATTTGACCAGTTGAATTGCTTGAAAATGCATCAATTTTTGCTTTTGGACATGTTTTATGTGAGGCACTGCAATAATAGAACTCAAAGATGCAATAAATTTTGTTGAAAGTGTATAAGAAAACAAGAAAAATAATTGAATCAATCTATATTTAACTAAGTGGTATTCCTTGTCAATTACCTAATAATTCAAGAACTTTCCAAAGCATAGCCTGTAATTTTCGGCTCACTGTATGTCATAAAACAAATTAAACTTGTTGGTATATGGAAGGAAATGTTAAATTTAATAACAAAGGCATTTGAACGTATTCCCAGTAAAAAATCTATTTAATTAACATATAAGTGTATTGTATAATCGACAAACTAGCACAAATTTTGACAAGTGAGTTTTATCAATTATTCTAATCTAAAATCCTATCACATTTTTAAAGAGGTAATAGACACTAATGATATGCTACCCTAAAATGAGGACTAATTCATTTGCCACAACATTTTATATGACGATCTATTTGCTATTCACACCCAACGCCATTGCGTGGATTTGAATTGTGAGAATCAATTTCCCCACGGAAAATAAGGGAAATCTTCTTACAAATAACGTCTCTTCAAACCATACTACAAGCTCGATCCAAGCCTGAGTATGATTTTTTTTTTCTCAAAGGGCAAACTGCACAGACCTCCCTTGAGGTTCATGACTAGTTGAAATTCTCCTTGACAATCCAAAAATTACACTGATTCCCTATTAGAGTTTGAATTTCAATAGGATTAACTAAAGTATAAAAGTACTAAATTATCCTTACCTAATAATGTCAAATTGCCATACTACCTTAATTATTTCATCAGTCTCTATGTTTCCTACCAATACTCACCACCTCACCTCTACCGCCTTACTTTATCCCTTTCCCTTTTCACCTTCTTTTCCCTAACGCCCATCTACCACTATGAACGACAACCCCCTTACTTCTACTACCTCTGTGTGGTCACTATCTCCACCTCTATGCATCTACAACCTTACCTCTATCTCTACCTTTCTGTGACCATCTCATCCACAAACATGCAATGGCCAATGACATTGGCCACTAGCGGTATCGTTTGATGTGCAATGGCCACTGGTGTTTTGTGGCGTTCGACATGTGAAGGCCACTGGCATTCGCCATGTGATAAATCCTATTCAAAGTCGATTATTAAGACCCAATATTTATGATTTTTCTCTCTCTTCTTCTCATTTCCCTTTTTTCGCACCTCTTTCTCTTTCAATTGCTTTGTTCCTCTTATTCTGCCACAACATGCCTCTTTTTTCCATTGCCTAATGCCATAAGCTTATGACCACACTAAATTTATTTCCCAAACTCTCTTGGAGCTTTGATGTGCATTGATTTGATGTTTGGAAGGTTCGTGGGGATGGGTGTAATTTTTTTGGCATGGCTATTAGGAATGGTTTTTGGGTTATTGGCAATAGATTATTGGAGTGACTGTTGGGGAGTCATTTTCTACATTATCATGACACCACCACTTTCTCTTGTACCATCCCAATATTCTCTCTGTCTGTCTGTCTCTCTCTCTCTCTCTCTCTGTCTTCCTTGGTTATGGTCGGATTGATATATGGCAATTCAGCTAGGTAGATTGGTTGTAGTGGGGTATCAATTATTGGTATTTGTTGGTGATGGCTGGAGAGCGTTGGAGGTGTCAGTAGTTGGTGGTGATGGCTTCGGAGTGGGAGGTAGTGATAGTTGATGGCTAATAGTAGTAAAAGTGGTGGAGGGTGGAACTCTGTTTCTACATTTCAATGGAGAAGGAGAGACTAATGGAACTATTGTGTAAAAGAATTTGACAAAGGTAAATATGACATTTTCAAAAAATTAAATGTTGATATAAGTAAAATATGTTAGTTAATGTAAGTGTCAACTAACATTGGGGAATTTTTTGTAGTGCAATTATTAACCTTAATAAGGGGACTTTTTTTTTTTTTTTCATTAGCAAAAGAAAACTTTATTGATGAACCACATATAAATTACATATGATAGGCAAACATCAATAAAGAGGAGCTTGGAGTTAGAAAAAGCTCCAACCTCCTAGTTGGTGAGAAATCAACAACATAAAACAAAGCATAAGCAACACCTAAATGACAGCATCACCTAATTAACAGCAGCAGCAGATAGACATACAGCAGGAGATCAATTTTCACACTTCATAATTAATTTCCAAAATCAACAACAGATAGACATGCTCCAACCTCCTAATTACTAAAATGGATATGCAGTAGCAGATCAATTCACACCCTTCCATCACAAAGCCTCATGAGGTATTGAAGATAGCATCACAACAACACTGCAAACCTACAACTTGTGCCTCCATTACTATTGCAAAAAACAGAGATGCTCTGTCTGGAGAACATCACAAACTAGAATAAAACATGCAGTAACAGTTAACAAGAAGCAGTTTATTTGAGGCCTAAAACATGCAGTAGCAATAAAAACATGCAACACCAATTCACACCATTCCATCACAACAGCAATACCCAAGCATCATAGCATCCATTCAACACATTACATGGAGGTAAAATGTAGAAGCAGGTTATTTGAGGGCTTCACACACTAAGCTCCAACCACTTAATTGACAGTAACACAACACCCATCACAGCATCACTGCACCACCAAGGCACAATCTGATCTGCTTTATATTACATATGAAATCATTGATTATGAAATTAAATTCCTTCAGATGTGGGTTCATCCACAAAGCAATCCTAGTCTTGATCAGCTCACACACCTCAAACCAATTTGGGATAGTAGCCAAAAAAACACATTCATTTCTAAGTTTCCAAATTGACCATAGCACAGCCAACGGAATGGCACTCCAATTCTTTCTTTCCAACCTCTTCATTCTCCCACCTGCCCACTATAACAACAGCTGATCCACAAATTCAGGTAATGCCCCCTGAGTCCGCCACCAATTTAACAGCTCAGCCCATACACTCCACACAAAAGGACAGCAAATTAAGACATGATTCACAGATTCAGTGGCAGTCATACAGAACACACACAGGGATGAGCTAAATACCTGAATCACACTAACTCTTTGTAAGAATTCAACTGTCTTGATTCTCTTTTTCCAAGCTAACCACCCAAACACTTGGACCTTAGGAGGGATAAATCTCAGCCAGACCAATTTACAAATTCTAAGAGTTGGGCCTAAATTATACACAGCAGCATTATACATTACAGCCACAGAGAACTGACCTGACTTAGAAGCTACCTAAACAGGTCTATCCACCTGGTCTAGACTCAATGCAGGACCTGCTGCCAGCAGGTTTAAAAGATTCTGCAACTCCACCTCCTCTCACAGATACAATACTCTTCTGAATGATAGATTCCAAACCCCTACTGCATCTTTCCTATCAAAGATATCTCTCAATGAGTCATTTTTCTCCAGAGACAGCCTATAAAGGCCTGGAAACACATCTTTCAAACACATTTGCTGACACCACTTATCAATCCAAAAGCTTATTCTTCTACCATCCCCAACCTTCAATTGGAAATTTTCCAAGAAGACTTCTAGCAGATTATTACTCTGATCAGCTAGACTTGTGATACCTTTCCATAACACTGAAGAGTTACTACTAACTGTAACAGAATGCAACCAGCTATCCACCTTTAACTTGTACCTGATGCATATAACCTTCTTCCACAAAGCTTCATTCTCACAACTAAACCTCCATCACCATTTTACAAGTAGACAAAAATTTACCACTCTCACCCTTCTTATACCCAAACCTCCTTGGTCTATACTTTTACACACATCCATCCATCCATCTAACCATATGGATTTTCCTTCTTAGTTATGCCCCTCCCTACAGAAAAGCAGCTTTCAACCTCTCTATTTCTTTGGCAACCCCTTCAGACATCCTAAACAGGGACAGATAATACACTAGTAGTGTAGATAAAACAGCTTTCACAAGCGTTAATCTCCCAGCAAATGACAGCAACTTTCTCTTCCAACCAGCCAACCTACATCTGACTTTATCTAGGACAGGCTTCCAAGTAGCTTTCCTCCTTAGATTGGCTCCTAAAGGTAACCCAAGATATCTGATGGGTAGAGACTTTATATTTCAATTCAATACTGAAGCAAAACAGTTCATAGTATCATCTGAGACCCCCACCCCACACACTACACTTTTATGATAGTTAATTCTCAATCCAGACATTAACTCAAAGCATCTTAACACCCTTTTCAAATTCCTTAGCTCTTCAACCTTTGCTGCACAGAATCATAGGGAGTCATATGCGAACTAAAGATGGGAGAGTATAACACCATTTGATCCAACCTTGACCCCTTGAATCAGACCTAACTCCTAAGCTCTGGACAACAAAATGTGTAATCCTTCAGCAACCAAGTTAAATAGAAAAAGGGACAAAGGATACCTCTGCCGTAAACCCCTTTGTGGACTGAGCTCTTCTGTTGGAGACCCATTAACAAGAATTGAAATTCTCGAAGTTGTTACACATTCTTTGATCCACCTGGTCCATTTAGCCCCAAAACCAAACTTAGAAATTATAGAGAGTAAAAAACCCCCAATTAATTGAGTCATATGCCTTCTCAAAATCCAACTTGATAATAAGACCCTTCATCATTGGCTTCTTCCACCCACCAACCACTTCATTCGCTAATAATACCCCATCTAGGATGTTCCTTCCACTTAGAAACGCTGTCTGTGTTTCACTAATTATATGAGGCCTCACTACTTTCAGCGTATGAGACAATAACTTTGCTATAATCTTATATATTGAACCCACCAAGCTTATCGGCCTATAGTCATTTAACCCTACATGGTTCTCCTTTTTAGGTACAAGGGTGATGAAAGAACTGTTAATTCCTTTTACCAGCTTGCCATTTTTATGAAATTCGTGCACAAACTTAACCACTTCAGTCTTCATCACTTTCCAAAATTTCTGAAAACATCCCATATTAAAGCCAACTGGCCCTGGAGCTTTATTCCCATCACAATCCATCACTGCAGGTTTAATTTTAGCTTTTGAGAACTCTGCTTCCAACTTGACAAAATCACCACTTCCTTGCACTGAGTTGAAGGTCCCTCTTAGTTCAGGTCTCCCATTCCAATCTTCAGAAAAATGGCTCTGAAAATGTTGAAGCACTTTGTTCTTCACATGACAAGGATCCTCATATACCACCCCCCTCTAAGATTGAATTTATTTCATTCCTTAATTGTCTACATTTTGTCATGACATGGAAGAATCTTGTGTTCTTGTCACCCGACAATGCCTAATTCATCCTTGACTTCTGTAGCCACAATCTCTCCACCATCTTGCTCAAGCTCCATGCCTCTCCTCTAACCTTTCTCCTCCTTTTTATTTCTGCCTCATCAAGTTCTCTAGCCTCAGCAACAAGCTCTAACCTGTGTAATTCAGCCTCTGTTGCTTTCAGCCTATTAATAATGTTCCTAAACACCTCCACATTCCATTTCTTTAGGCCAACCTTCAAATACTTTAATTTTTCCAGCAGAATATACCCAGCCAACCCCACTACAACAGACTCTTTCCAGCTGTTTTCCCAAAAAAAGTGAAAGTTTTTGTGAAGGAACCATGCATTTTGACGCCTAAAGGGTTTTGGGCCCCAATCCCTCTCATCCTCCTTCAATAGGAGAGGGCTATGATCAGATAGCAATCTAGGCAAACCCCACAACTTCACCTGGAATACCTCTAGCCACTTTGGATCAACTAGCACTCTATCAATTCTACTCCACTTTTCACCTTAACTTAAGTTACACTAGGTAAACTTCCTACCAAGCAGTGGCAAGTCTGACACTTCGCACCTATCAATAAATTCATTAAACTCCCTCATTCCCCGATCTCTCCTTGAGCATCCTTTCTTTTCGCCAATGTTTCTTATTTCATTAAAATCCCCACATAAACGACGTCGTTTCGGTGAGTAAATTAAAGAAAAAAAACAACAAAGTGGGAGAGAGAATAAGAGAGAGAGAGAGAGAGAGACAAGAACAAATAAACAAAAACAGAGTGAGAGAATGGACTTGGATTCTCTGCCAGCATCGACAGATTCCTCCCTCACAGCCGCTGGAGCCATCTCCGACTTCTTCTTCTTCTCCTTCTTCCACTAACCGTCACACCTCCTTCCTCTACCAAAAAATCTTCAACTTCAAACCTTCTCTTAATTACACACCACCAGTTTGGTTCAATCCTTTTAAAACATTGATTTTTGACTGTTTTCAACAGCCGAAAATGAAAAACTTTGTGAAATACCCAAATCAAATTTCTGAACATTCCAAGTATATCATTCACAAACCCAGAAAAAAAGTAAACTAAAAAAAAAAGAAAAGAAAATTTGTCAAATAGAAACTATTTTCTCAGTGGGTACCCAAGAAACATAAATTTTATAGATCCTGAAACACTCAAAACCTCTACAGGTTTGACATACCTTGATACTGAGAGAGCTTTTTTAGGAGCAAACCCACATGAATTTATGAGGAAATTGACTCTGAATGAGTGTTGATTTGAAATTTTTTGATGGGTTTGGTTGATAATGATAATGAAGAAAATAGGTGAATTGGTGATGTTGAGATTAATCTAAGAACATTTGTTAAAGTTACTACTCAGCCCCTTTTCTCTCGTGCTTGATCTGTAGAAACGAAGAATTTTTTTGTTCTACCGACTATAACAACATCTTATTCTCTCTCTATCTTCTTCTTCTCTCTCTCTCTCTCTCTCACACTCTATTTTCGTTTTACTGTTTTTGTCTCAAGTCCCTTCCTTTTTTCTGCTGTATCGCAAAAGGCACCATTGCTCTAAGGAGAGGAGAACTAAAAGAAAGAAGAAAGAAGCAGTGTGAGAGGGAGGAGAACGAAAAGAAGGAAGAGAGAAGCGGTGTGGGCGACAGACAGTGAGGATAAAGGAGGCGACGAATCGTTGGAGATGGGCAAGCGACGACGGAGAGAGTGCCAGCGAGGGAGGCTGTGCCGGAGTGGGGTTAAGTTTAGGGATGGGGTCGGTGATGGAAGTGAAACCCAAAACAAAAGAAATTTGAATTATATTACTCTAGAGGAGATGACTCCAATTATATTACTCTAGAGGATCTTTACGCATTTTGACCAACAAAAAATATATATTTATTTTATCATTTAATCATTATTTCTATTATTAAACGAAGTGTTTAGTTTACTAAAAATCCTTATACATATTGATTTGTAATTATGATTCAATTTTAAATAATGAATAGCAATCTCAATGAAACAATTAATAACAAATTGGCACAACGATTTAACGTGAACAAAATCACAATTAGAGCAATTCCAATTGTGATTAAAAAAAAATCACGGGCCAAAATCACAAAATAATCCACTAAGAAGACAAAAAGAATTTACACACAAGAACCCTCAATTATCTTGCGAATCCACCCATGAATTGAACCAAAGCATATGTGCCTCTTCCACTTCCGTTTTCGCCTCGAAATTTCTTTGTCCAACATTGAATCCACAACGCCAATGTCGAATCCACGACAATAAGCCACTTTGAAATCCACCAAAGCTTTAGGCCTCAGCTTCTTGAAATCTACCAATGAACATCTCTCTTTTTATGTGAATGAAAGAACAAAAAAACCCTGGATGATAGTCAATATGAAACTTGTTGATCAATAGATCACCCTCAAATTATCAAGGAAACTCGTATATAAACACTCTTCAATATAGAACACTTTGTTTTTTCCTGCTCTCTGAGAATCTAGATGGGTTAAATCCTAAAAATAGCAAACGATGCACTTTTATACTAAACAGATCTGCGAAGATCGCTCGAGCGCACACTTTACCGCTCGAGCAGTGTGAGTAAAGAAGCTGCTTACATATAGGCCAACCACTCGAGCGCATCATCCACTGCTCGAGTGATGAAACATATTTTGCAAAAATTTAGTTTGTAAGCATCTCTACTGGATAAACCACATCTCCACTCAAGCTCGATCTCCATACATAGTCAATGAAGTGGCAAAGAAGGAATGCTCAAGATATGGAATGTCAACACAAACTCATCTACAAAGGCATAACTTGGGTTGGATTCACATATAAACACTCACAGTTGCACTAAAACAAAAGAACGAATAAAATTACAGCTGAAAATGAGCTTTGTCAAATGAGATTGGCAATTACAAAAACGTAACATGTAAATGGATAATTATTTTTAATTTAAAAAGATCGGTACACTCACCATTGGATAATATAATGGAACCTCTACATTGCAAATATATGCAATGGAGAGGATCACAATCCGTTTACAATATTATAATCTAGGGTAATGCTATGGTACCATATGGAAGTTATGCTATTTGTGGGTTTGATTACCACAAATGGCATAACTTAGTATTATGAGAGTCATAACTAAAAAAAAGAAAAAAAAAAAGAATTATAACTAAACACTACATAAAGTATATATATATATATATAAAATCACTCTTGAATCATAACCAAAATAATATTACAATTAAATCATAATTAATTATAACTAACAATACCATAGATCATAACCAATGATATAAAAGTCGTAACTAGGGGTGTATTGCATATTTATAAAATGATATGACTAAAATTATTTGTTTGCATTGCATAGTTCACAACATACCTTTTAAAACAATTTTATTTCGGGTAAATTATACTCATCTCAGATGAGGTTTAAAAAATTACAGTTAACCCCCACACTTTTAACATAATTACACTAACTTCCTTTTTAATATGACTAAAGTGGCCAAAAAATAATAGAGACTGTGGATAAATATAAATATTAATACACAAAAGATAAATATACATTTTAATAAAAAGAGATAATAACATTTTTGTTTCTATACAACTAATAAATTATTGATAAAAAATGGTCTAAGTGTTATTTAGTGTAATTATGTTAAAAGTTTAGGGCTAACTGTATTATTTCTAAACCTCAAGTAGGTGGGTGTAATTTGCCCTTTTATTTATGTGTACAAACAAACATAAATAATGAGACTAAAATTATCTATGTATATTTATTTAAAGGGTAAATTACGTTGACCTAGTTGAGGTTTGAATAAAATACAATTAACACCATATTTTTGACGTAATTATACAGGTCTCCCTTAAGATTTTAATTCTAATAACACTTAGGCTAGTTTTGGTCAGTAATTCATTAGTTGTATGGATCAAAAGATGATATTGTCATCTCTTTTCTACTAAAATATAAATTTATTTTTATTTATTTCAGTGTTTGTCCAGCATTTGCATTACTCTGATCATTACTACAGAGGAGATTTGTGTAATTATGTCAAATTTATAGGGTTAGCTATATTTTTCTCAAACTTTAGTTTACAAGGGAGATTAGTGTAATCTATATTCGCCAAACTTCATCCATAGCATGCCCTTTATTCAAGTTGAGTTAATAAGGAACTCATAACAAACCAGAATTGGGGAAGTTTGTCCCCAAAATTCGAGCCCAGCTGTGTTTCTGTGCAATAACTTGAGAGCTGTTAACTGGATTTTCAATGTCACTTCTATTGTGGTCTTGATCAGCATAGTTTTCCACAGGAACATCTTCAAAACAAAAAATATATATACATATATTAAGGTTATGTGTGATAATGCTTGTATTTTGTGTTTTTTATTGAAAGGAAAATGCATTTGACAACTATTTGCGAAAATTGGTCTAACATTTCTCTCCAACTTTAGATAGTACGAAAGGTCCATAATATATTTTTGTTTATGGCTAAGGTCCTTTACCCGTTTTCAATATTGTAAAATACCTAATTTTCCCTCCCATATTAATACGTTGATTTTGATTTGGTAATTGAAAATTAATTTTTTTGTTGTTTTGGTGGAGATTGGGTATTGATTTCCAATTTTTAGGTGGAGATTAGATTTTGATTTCCAATTTCTGATTTCGAATTAGGTTTCAAGGTTTTTTTGAATTCTATGCTCGTTGTTGCAGTGTAAGTGATTTCAAGTTGTTTGTGTTGTTGATGTTCATTGTTCTGATCATATTCTTTGTTTGTTTGGTGTTCGTTGATTTCCAGATCGTGTTCGTTGTTTGAGTTGTTTGTTGATTTCTGCAGTGGAGTTGATCTAGTATGTGTTTTGATTTCTGCAAGTTATTTCGAGTTATTTGTTATTCGATTTGCAGTGGAGTTTGATCTCAGTTTTTATGCTTTTTTTTCTTATTTGTAGTGGAGTTCGAGTTGTTTGTTGTCCAATGGTTTTTTCCTTGCATTCTTAAAATTAAAATTATTTTTTAAAAGATTATGAGTTAAAAAAATTTTAAAATATTATTATATTGATGAATGACTCAATAATGATTTTTTTTTTTTTTTTTTTTTTTTTTTAATTTGAAAAGCTAAAATATTTGGCTTAACTGCTATATATGTTGTAGAGGGTTAAATTATTGGCCCGAATCCAGACACAACTAAGAAGAACGGCCCAAAGGGAAGGAGAAAAAGCCTAGAGAACTAAGAGGCCTATCAAAAGCAACTTAGGAACAATGGCACGTGACCAATCATAAGTAGGATCTTCTTCTAGAAGGAGATCAACAGAACCCGGGAGGACCCTTGGATTCATCTTTATCCAATGGTAGAAACATCAAACAGCAAAGACAAGAACATAGGCCAGGCCTATTAGACGATATAACCCTCTGGTCAGCTTAACCAAACAAACAAAGCATGTGGCAAGTTGGCCACTAACACCTAACATGATCTAGGCCATCTGCGGAGAGATGATCCAACGGTGAAAGATAAAGATAACCTGGCCACTTGCCCGACCAAAACTTAGAAGTAGGCAGAGCCCTTAGGTCAAATGTCAATTCAATAGATGAAACTTAAAGCCAATAACATTACAAAAGGTGAAGTAAGTGAAGCAAAGAGGAGAGATTGGAGGTAAATAAGAAACCCTCTTTGAATTACACAATACATATGGCCGATCAATATTCTGACAAGATCATCAGAGAATCCTCCCGACCATCCTGGTCAGGGGTGATCACTGACAATTTGGTTCCTCTTTCTAGAGTAAAGGAAATGGCACATCATCTCGCTTTCCCTGTGAAGAAGAATTCTATCTTCCACATATGTAGAATGCTTTAAAAGAGTTAAGGTAAAATATCAATTATAATACTACCATACTAATCAAATTAACAATGTTTTAAAGGAGGTAAGATTAAATGTCCAATATATTAGCATATTGATTAAATGTCCAATAATCTCATGACATGTGTATTTTTGTATTTTTAAAATTGAAAAAAAATTATATTGACACTTTAAAACTCAAATTCTTAATAACGTTTGCTTATATAATAGTATATATTTTAAATTAAATGAGTTAGATAAATCAATACTTGAAAATAAGTAATTAGTATTTTGGATATCTCCTTTTGAATTTTATGATAGAGAATAGATTTGTGTAAATTCAGAAAGAGATTATTTTACCTTTCATTCTAAAAACATAAATTTGGAATCATTGCTATTTTTATAATTATTGTGGTTTTAATGGGTTAGTCAGTAGTGTTTTTTAAATTAGTTTTTAATGAAAAAAATTCACAAATTTAATTAGAAGTGTTGTAGTTTTCACAAGGCTGTTCGTGAAAAGTCTCTTTTGTTTAATATATGGTACAAATATATAGATGGATGCATACATATAGATATAGTTTTGGAAGAAAATTTTAAACATTTACAATACTTGATGGATAAAGATTAATGTATTAAATATGGAATATTTGTTAATTTTGTAATAAACACATTTTAGATTTTACGACAAATATATAATTACTAAATAAAAAATAAAAAATTACTCTACTTGATGTGCAAAGATTAATGTTTTTCTAATAGTAAAATTAGTGTCTGATGTATGAAATATTTATTAATTTTGTAATACATAGATTTTTTATTTTACAACATAAATGTGTTTTCTATTTTTTATTTATAACTCTTGATTATGTTTGGAAATTTTAAAATATTTTCATATAAGTGAAATGACATATATATACTAATACTGAATTTGAAGACATTAAAGATCTCATTTAACAAATCTAAAAAAAATAGATCTCATTTACTTTTCTTTCATAAATTTGAGCTAATTAAAATGTATTGTCTAGAAAATCCAACGACCAATAACATTACAACATGCTTTTTTTTTTTATTTAAAAAAATTAAATTATGAGAAATAAGAATTGAAGTTTTGAATTTTAAGCACTCCCATAACATTTTTGTTTACAGTGATGATTAAGAGCTCTAATGGTAGAGCTGATGTGGCAACTCCAAAAAAAAAAAAAAAAAAAAAAAATCAAATCACAAAATGAAACCTATAGTTTAAAGCTCCTAAAAAAAAAAAACATCAAATCACATAATGGAACTTATAGTTTAAAGCTCCTTAAAGCCCTCAATTTAGAGTTTTGAAACATTTTTCTCTTATTTATATTTTATAATAGTGTAAGACGGAGACATAAGTCAAACACCATAAATAGAGCAATGGTAATAAAATCGAAGCCTAGTAATGATCATTATACGTAGGAATATGGAATATAAAATCTGAAGGATTCAATGTAAATATGGGGTTTTTATTTTAGGACATGGCTCCACTCCAGTACTGGAGAGAAAGTGTTGGGCATTGGTAGACCTTAATGTAGATCTATGTTGATAATTTAAATCATTCAATATGTAAAATTCGTCGAATATAATATCTCTGTAAAAATTGATGTTGATTGAACATCGATAACAACTTGATCCGATTGCATTTCTAGTGCAATTTACTTTGAAAATTATATTCGAAAATTATTTTGAAAATATGATCTGATCAAGTAGTTAACGATATCCAATTAATATGATTTTTTACAAGATTAATGTACTAGATGGGTTCTATACATTCAACGATTTAAATTATTGACATGAGTTCGAATCAAGGCCCACCAATCCCTGTCCTTTATTTTAAGATCCTTAATAATACATTTTTAGAAGGATAGGGGTAACACAATTTTCTATATTAATCTAGGTCCTTCAAAACACATGGTGACAAAATCATATAACTTTTTAATCTCATTTGAAAATTTCAAAATTTCTCTAACTTTTGATATAGATTTTGTTTTTTTATAAAATTTATATTTTTTGAATCGTTTCATCAAGATCCATGATTAATACAAATTCTAAAGAAAAAAAAATAGTTGATAAAGTTTTACTGACCTATGACAAATCAGTGAAATTTCAATTGGTCAATATAATATATAAATAAAGCTATAAAATTGAAGAACTTTTACAAAACCAACGGTAATAATTTAATAAATTCATATACAGCCATGATTGTATTCATTTGGTTCAAAACATATAATATAAATAAAATTAATTTGGAACATTGAAAACAAGGAGGGTAACTGGAGAGAGTGGCTGGAGAGGATCTCAATTCCCCCCAACCCCCAAAAGGAAAAAAAAAAATACTAATGTAACAAGTAACTTAATGGTAACCCATGCAAAAGTGGAAAGAATAAGAGGGGTGCTAGAAAAAAACTCACAAGAATAGATTAATCGTTGCCAACGATTCAGGCGAATACTACTTGGGAATGCTGACGCCTTTCTAGCCATAGTTTTCAGGGCGTGTTTATCGTCGACTAGTTTTGACGTACCTAATTCAGGATGGCGACCAACCAAATCCAAAGCTATATCTGTTTGTCAAAAAAAAGAAAAAGAAAAAATTATAAATTTCATCGAATTATTTGACAAAGCACTTCATCTCTTATGTGTTTACCCATGTTGCATGCTAAGTCTCAATTTGTTTTAAATATAGTGGGTCTTATATATAGACATACTTTTATTGTATTAATATACATAAAAAAGAAATAAATAGATGAAATAAATCTGATAATTAAAAAATTTCTCAAGAAGAAGAATTAAGTTAGAAGAGAGTCAACTTTATTACCTTATAAATTAGTTACTCATAGTTCTGAAAGAGTATTTCTCATATGATTCATGACCTCTAATAACAATTTGCTTGTTTCACTGAAAAATAAATATCTTTTGGTATTTGGTGTGATAAAAATTAAAATTTAACAATAGCTTTATTTTATTTGATTAGAGCAGAAAATATTTTATTTACTTTTTTAAGGTGAAAGACATTTTCTCGGTTCCACCACTAGCACCTTGTTTTTAGAACATTGTTTTTAGAATTGCAACCAGACACATAGAAAATATTTTGTATAGATGACATTTTTCTGAAAATATTTTCTGCAAAATGTGTATATATATATTTAAAGGGTTTTAGTTTAAAGTCTTTGATATTAAGATTTGATAATAAATGACATGCTATTTCATAATAATTGAGATTCTTTAACATTTTGGCATATAGAAATTTCAACACACGGACAAATTTCTATTCAACACAAAGAATTTTCAATAACAAACTGAAAGTTCTCTAATAATATTATTAGAGAACTGTAACTAATAATAAAAAATATATTAAACTGAAAGTTCTCTAATAATATTATTAGAGAACTTTAACTAATAATAAAAAATATTATTAGAGAACTGAAAGTTCTCTAATAAAAAATATATTAAACTGAAAGTTCTCTAATAACAAACTGAAAGTTCTCTAATAATATTATTAGAGAACTTTAACTAATAATAAAAAATATATTAAACCTCTCCTACTACCAAAAGTTAGAGAGGGATATTTTACTCATTTTTCCTTTTTTAAAACAAACAAATGGATAGTAAATAAGTTATAAATTAAAACTTATAATACATTAAAGGTTCGTTTGGAAAGTTATTTTTTTAAGTAATTGTTTGACGTTTTAGCTTACATATAAGGTGGAAAAAATTGAAGGCTCTGTTTGGTGGTTTGATTTTCATAATCTTTTTCCAATTTTTTTTTTTCCAAAATTTTAAATTATAATTTGTTGAAATAAAAATTAAAAAATAAAAAATATTGATCATCCTCATATTGTTTTATTTTTCAATAGATAGAAATAATTTTTAAAATATAAAATTAATTTTTTAATATTTATTGTTATCAAATTAGTTACTATGTTTAAAAAAATAATTAAAAAATTATTTTTGAAAGGCAAATCAAACAAAGTGGAAGTGTTTAATAATGGCTTGCAAAAGTAAAGAAAATTAAAAAAAAAATGAATACTTGATTTTTTTTTTTATGACTTTTTGGGGGTGATTATTCGGTAGTCTAGTAATGCGTTCACGTAGTGCAGTATGGTAGTATGATTGGTGAAGAAGATAGAGTATTTATTATTTGTATTGAGTAATTAAAAAATTGCAAGATAGCATAATGAATGTTGGTTGGTGAAGCAGTATAGGGCGTGATAAAACGACATCGTTTAGTCTACTGACCGAATAAAAAAAATGAAAAAAAATAGAGCAAACAAAGAAGAGCAAAGAGGAAGAAGACGATGACCAGTCGAAGGAGACTAACGCCGGTAGCGAACAAAGGAGACGCCAACGGCGACCACTTCACCGTTTGGATACCAATGAACAAAAGACTCTCCTTCTGGCCCTTTACTGGTTCCATAAGTACCGCTGCCAGCGTCGGCCACTTCACTGTTTGGATACCAGTGAACGAAAGATTTTTCTTCTGACCCTTTATTGGTTTCATAAGTACCATGTTGCTCAGTTAGTTTCTCAATTTTAGTTGGGTAAATTACAAATACGCCTTATGAGTTTTGATTAAAATACAAATCACTTGTGGTTTTAGAAATTACATTCCACTCCTTAAGTTTTCTACTTTTATAACAAATCGCCCATTTTACTAATAAATAATTAAGTTAATTAACAGTTTTTAATAATATTAAAAATATATTTTAATTAATAATTTAAGAAATTTTATCATTATATAGGAGAACAATTATGAATTTTATTTTTTTAGTTAATTTTGTTAAATAAAAAATTTTAACAAGAGAATATTTGTAATTTTCTAAATCACAAGGGACAATTTATACTTTAAACAAATTTCAGGAGGTGCAATTGTAATTTACCCATTTTAGTTTTATTGTCTTACAAAACATTTATATACGTACACCCAAAAAAACTAAAAAAAGAAAAAGCCATAATCCATCCAAAACAATCAACAAGACAAAGATGTGCAAGAAAAAAAGAACCATAATTATAGAATTAATACAAATCTTTTTGTACCCCAAAAATAAAATAAATAAATTAAAGAAAGAATTATGTTAGCAACCTATTTCTAGGAGTGTAAAAATGGCTTGCGGCCCGTACTCGGCCCGGCCCGGGGTAGGCCCTGGCCCAGCCCAGCCCGAGACCCTGGGCCTGGGCCTAGGCCATCATTTTGAAGCCCGATCCGGCCCACTTGGCCCCGCTTAAGGCCCACTCAAGGTCCGGCCCGCCTAAGACCCAATGTCTTTTTTAGTGAAAAATAATAAAATTTTAGTAAAAAAAAATGTAAAAAATCAAAAAAATTTGTTCAAGCCCAGGCCCCACCGACCCTCCCAAGGCCTGAATGCTCCTAGGGCCTGGACCTAATTTTCTGGCACGTGCGCCGGCCTGGCCTGGCCCGAATTTTGGCAGGAGCCCGCGAGCCCCGACATGGGCTGGGCCGAGTCAAATTTACACCCCTACCTGTTTCTTCTTCTTAGCTATGGTGGAAGCACAGCTAGAAACTAGAACAATTCACTTCAAGGGGAATCTACCTGCAATAAACATAAATTGATTTTGGAAAAGATTAGTTACCTTTCTTGATGACTCAGTGGCCGTAAATACAAAACTCCAACAGCTCCATACTCACCAATTCCTAAACTTTAGGCTACAGAAACTCTACTAACCAATAAATCCCACAAAACACTCAACTAACCAAGAAATCTCACAAAACACTTACACTACTCCCTATTCCATAAAGCTTATTGGCTCTTTCAAAGACTTTAAAATTAAAGAAAAATAAATAACAAAATTAGGACCCATCAGTCCTCTCCCCTTCAAACGACCTTGTCCCCAAGGTCAACATGTGGATAGTGTTCCATCATTGAGTAACATTTTTCCCATGCAGCTTCTTTCCTAAGAACCCCTTGCCATTTAATTAAGACCTCTGTAATTCTCCTTCTTCCTTTCCGAACCAACCTACAATCAAGTATGGACTCTGGTACAGGTTGCAACTCACTGCCTTCAGTTAATGGTGGCAGCATACTAATGGGAACGATGCGACTGCCCAGCTTCTTCTTTAGGCGGGAGACATAAAATATAGGATGTACCTTTGCGTCTATCGGTAAGAGCAACTCATATGCAATGGTCCAATGCGTTTAACAGTCTGACGGGGCCCATATTATTTGGCAAACAACTTCATCAACCATCGAACAACGAGGGATGATTGACGATATGGCTGCAATCGTAAATACACCCAATCCCCAACATCAAATTGCCTTTCAGTCCTATGCCGATCTGCAAATTTCTTCATCCTTTCATGAGCAGCTTCCAAATTCTCCTTCAAAACCCTCAAAATTTTATCCCCATCCTTGAACTCATCCTCTAAAGCTTGAATTTTTGTTGTGCCCAGAACATATGTCTTCACCACTGGAAGTGGAACACCATAGACAACTTCGAAGGGTGTCATTTTGCTGGTAGAGTAATAAGTAGTATTATACCACCACTCGACCCAAGGCAACCATCTAGATCATTCTTTTAGTTGTGCACTAGTGAAACAGCGAAACTAATTTTCTAAGCATCTGTTAAGCACCTCACTTTACCCACCGTTTTGAGGGTGATAAGAGGAGCTCATCATGTTCAAAAAATAAATAAATAAATAAAATGAGGAGCTTATCTCCAATTGAGTTCCTTGCAACTGGAAGAGTTCTTGCCCAAAAGAACTAGTGAAAGTAGGATCTTGATGATGAGATTGGCATCCCATGTAGCTTGAAAATATGCTCTACAAAAACCCTTGCCACTATGGCTACTAACTAGCAATAAAATTCCCATATTTTGACAACCTATCCACCACAACAAGGATGATTGACTTCCCATGTGAGCTCAGAAGTCCTTCAATAAAGTCCATAGCAATCTTAGCCTATAAATACGTTTTTTTTTTTTTTTTTTATCAACAACAAAGATCCCTTTATTGATGATGAAACCTTACAAGAAGGAAGAAACATCAACAAAAGAGAGGAAAAATGCAAGCCATCACATGGCATCACCAAACCAAAACCCTGGTGGTGAGGAACCAACAGAGATAGCCACTTACAGAAGCATACACACAGCAGAATTCACAGCAGCAGATTAGCCCACAACAGCATATAGAGATTAGCCAAGAGCAGCATACAACTACAAGCATATCCAAAATAAGCATGGATACAGAGTGACAGATTAGCACACAGCATCACACACACAGCAGGTTCACAGCAGCAGTCATCAGATTAACACACAGCAGTATACACACAGCAGCTCCACAGATTAGCAGATTATATACGCCAATTATATCAGACCATACACCCCAAAACCAGTCCAGAATCCAAACTCAGCAGGCTATAAACTGAACAGAAACCATGGCCTTCCTCAAATGCATTCCTTAACCTGAGCCAAATTGATGGTTAAATCCAAGACAGAGTACCTGATCTTTTTTACAGCAGCTTTAACCCATAGAGCAAATCTAATCTTCATCAGCTCACCTAACTCAAATGCACATGGTTGCACTCCACTGAACAAACATTCATTCCTT